CCCTCAGGCTAAAAATCCCAATTCCCTCTCCCTAAACTGCAAATTAAGAGCCAGCATGGCATAGTGGTTTGAGTGTTGGAGTATGACTTTAGATACCACTATTCAATTTCCGCTCAGCCATGAAATTAACTGGGTGACCTTGGGCAAGTCACACTCTCTCAGCCTCAGAGGATGGCAATGGCAAACGCCTCTGAAAAAACTTGCCAAGAAAAGCCTATGATAAAGTAGCCTTAGGGTTGCCATAAATCGAAAACGACCTGAAGGCATGCACACTCACACACATGCAGCAAATCCCAGGATTCCACAGGACACATCCATGGCAATTAAAGTAGACTACAGATGGCCGTCCATATCCACAGATTCTGCATCCACAGATTCAACTATCCACAGCTTGAAATTATCCCCCCACAAAAGCCCAAAGAAGCAAACCTTGATATTGCCCTTTTATATCATTTTATTATAGCATTGTATATAATGAGATTTGAGCATCCAGACTTTGGAGGGTCTTGGAAACAAGGGAGGGTCTTGGAAACAAGCCTCAGTAGATACCAAGGATCCACTATATTAGTGATATAGCTCTATAGTGTGAATGAGTCTCTGGTGCAGAGGAGAGACTTCTGTTACTCCCAAGGGCAGGGGTAGGCGGCCTTTCCCCTTTAAGGGCCGAGGGACTTCAGCTCCCAGAAGCCTCAGCCATGTTGGCCAATAGCTCCTGGGATTCTGGGAGCTGAAGTCCCTCAGCCCTTAAAGGGTTTCCCTACTTAAAGGGGTTGCCTACCCCTGCCCAAGGGTGTCCTGTTCCTTCTTCTGTGCCTCACTCAGTCTCTTAGATGGACATTTTATAATGGCTGGTACTGTAATTTGCCCGCTAGTGTTGCAGGGGAGACATTAGGCAAGTTTTTCAATCTGTTATGCCCACCAACTATACCTTACTTAGGAAGGCTTATTAGGAGCCCAAATACTCTAGCTCTCTTTTTTTGGCATTTTCATTTTGGGTGCATATTTAGGTATTTTTAATTTTAAACAGTTACTGTGATATTGCTGCTTTATATTTCTTACTTGTATTTTACAAGGAGCCTTGATGGCGCAGTGATTAAATGCCTGTACTGCAGCCACTCACTCATAGACCACAAGGTTGCGAGTTCAATACTAGCCAGGGCTCAGGCTAGACTCAGGCCTGCATCCTTCTAAGGTTGCTAAAATGAGTACCCAGCTGTTGGGGGGCAATGAGCTTACAGTTGTAAACCACTTAGACACCCCATAGCATGGTATGAAGTGGTATATAAATGAAGCTGCTTTGCTTTTATATGTTATTGTATTGTGTGAACGTTGTATTTAAACTTTTTTAACCACAAGCTGCCTTGGAGGTTTTTTTTGGCTGAAAGGCTGCACAGAAATAAACTATAAGATCAAAATGGAGAAACATCTGTTATTTCACTTGGGCCAGCGGTTTTGCATGATGGTCTCGGAGATCCTTGGACTTACTTAAGCATGAGGCAACCATACTTGATTGTGTGTGTGTGTGTGTGTGTGTGTGTGTGTGTGTGTGTTATTTTTCCAAACATCAAAGTGACTGGCAAATGTTCACCGTTCTTTCAATTTTGCATTGGGAAATCTGCATAATTTCTGAATTAACTTAAGACAGGAAAAGCCCATCCATCTGTGCTCTTTTGTAATGGAGAAGACTTTCTAAGCTATTTGTGATATGAAATGAGATTTTATAAGAAGAAAACAGATAAGAGTAAAAATAATCCACTGGGTACGTCCTTGGATGAATCTAAATTTGGGTTCTAGCCCCTAAAACTAACAATGCACATTACTATAGAATAATCATTCATTAAAACAGTTTTTTAAATTACCTTAATTTCATCTGACACAAAATGTAATGACTTTGGGCTTGAAGCTCCAATCTAATCATATTTATTCAATAGCAAGAAACCAAACTTAGTATGTTTTTTCCTCAAGTATACTGTCTGTGGTGAGGGTCTCTGGTTTACAAAGCCCTCTAGAATTATGTAAGCTTGCAATAAAATGTTTTAAACATTCAGCCATATGGAAAGACTTTAAACATAGGGAAGGTTTGCTGTGCTGTATATACAGCTGACCTGTTCTAATCAATTTCAGCATCTGGAAATTCTTTCTGAAGCCCACCAAGCTATATTTTGAGACGTACACTGTGCCATAAGTTAGAGCTTACAAACAAAAGGGCAGTTATTATCCAATTAATATGTCCCAACAGCACAGCTTAACCAGAAATCTAAAGCAACATCTTTACATTCATATTTTCAACTTCTAATTCATATTTTTCAACTTCTAAAGTACCTAAACAGAGCGTCATTTTCTGGTAACTGGAAAATCAGAGCCTTCCTTAGTAAATAAAAGAAGTGACTACTTCCAATGCCTGCTTTCTTTCCTGGAAAGAAAGAACCCTTATGATACAAACTGCAAGCAACAGCTGTGCTTTAGGGGAAATGAACTGCTTTGGGGAACTGCATTTCTACTGTCGGGTCTTGTGGTAAGATAACAAATGTCATGAATGACTGAGGACCAAGTGCTACTTTTTTTTTCTTGATACCAAAATGATAAATAAAAACAAACCAAGAATGAATTTTAGAAGGGGGGAGATGGTCAACTGGTTATATGTGCTCCTCAAAGCAAGCTTTATTGGATTTTAATCAGAATATGAAATGAAGTTTGGCCAGTTTCAGTTACAAGTAAGGGGGGAAAAACTGTTCTGAGTTCATACGAAATATATTCATTCTACAGTTTCATGTTACATCCTTGCTGTGGATTTTGCATGGAATGTGCAATTGCACAATTGCCTGAGAATGCATCGTCTATCACTGTGAAATATTTACTATTATACCTGATTTAGGAGCGAGTTTCTACCATCAAAATACAGATACATGAATTAACCCATCTACCACACCACAGAGACTGGAGGGGAAAAGTGGCTCTTAGAAATCAGAATGTGTGGCACTTACCATGAAGGTTCCTTTTCTGATGTAGTGGGCAAGATATCCTTGATGGGGTCTTGTTCCTCCCACAGACCAGAGGCCAGGCTTTTAATTAATCTTTCTTCCATCCTAAGTGGGACAGCTAGTGCCTCCTCTCCCAGTGTAAGAATACAAAGCTCCAAATGTTGCTCCAAAAGTCAAGAAATCCACAAAAAAAAAAAAAATGGAAAATACAGTCTGCAGGACTGCTTGTAATCCAGCAGCAGCAACATTGGGTGGGTAGAATGCCCTCTCTTCTATTGCAGAAGAAACATCTACAGGGTAAGTACCCATGTTTCACTCTCCTAAAGTGTGCAAAGGGCATCATTGACCAGAGCCTACCAATGGGATCCCCTCAGAGTCGGAAACTGTTGAACTCTCTCACTGAGGCACCACTTGATTTATGAAATTGGACAAAATGATTTGAAGGCATTCATACAAAACCTACAGTGTAACCTTATGAAGCAGTCTCAGAACCCAAGCATCTGCATCTAAGCAAGTCTGCTCCCAGTGATGTGTTATCTGCAATAAAAGAACTCCCCCTGCAAGATGCTCTGAGTCACTGTAAATGCCGTTGCATTGTTATTGCTGTTGTTAACTGCCCTTTAGTGATCTCATAACAACCCTGTGGATGAGACATCTCCAAGACCCCGTCTTCAACCTTTCTGCTCAAGTCCTACAGGCTCATGCTTGTGTCCTTCATGATTGAGTCTAATAATCTAGCACAGGGGTAGGCAACCTAAGGCCCAGGGGCCGGATGCGCCCCCCCCAAGGCCTTTGGACCGGCCCCAGGCTGGTCCTGCCGCCGCTGCTGCCCGCCATGATGACATTGATTATTGCTGTTATTACTTGTTCTTGGGGTTTTCTTGGCAAAATCTCCACAGGGGTTTTGCCATGGCTTTTCTGGGGCTGAGAGAGTGTGCATGCATATTTTATTATTTTTTTAAAAATATTTTATTTATTTATTTATTTATTTTTGGTGCTTCGGCCCCCCAACTGTCTGAGGGACAGCAACCCGGCCCCCGGTTCAAAAAGGTTGCCTACCCCTGATCTAGCATGTACTCTTTGTCTCTTTTTACTGCCTTCTACCTTTCCTAGCATTGTTGCTTTTTCTAATGATTCATTTTTGCCATAAGTTATTTTCTTCATGGTGTGGCCAAAGTACAAGAGCCTCAGTGTAGTCATCTTTGGTTTATTTATTGTTATTTCTTGAGACTGTATGTTTACTGTTATATCTTGTTATTTGGTTATTTGAGTTTTGAAAAACTGTATTGCAAATAGAATGAAATGCACATAAATAAAGCAGGGGAAGCAATATAACCCACCCACATGTTGTTGGGCTGCAACTACCAACACTCCTCATCACTGGATATACTAGTTAGGGCTGATGGAAGTTGCTGTCCAATGTAAGCAACAATGAAAATGCTGTGTATTGTTAATTATTTAGTTACTAGGATTTTAAGACACTTAACTATGCACCAAGTTGTACATATTCATAAATTAAGGCCAGACTGACATGAAATACAAAAGAAGCGTATTTCTATTTGGGTACAATTTTATTCTTTTGATGTATTTAAAGATCATGAGATCCTTTTAAGGTGGATTTTCCAGGATTTTATTAACCACACTGGAATCTTTTTGGTAAGCTATGACTTCATAAACTGCAAAATGATCACATAAAGTTGCATTATGCAGTGTTTGTATTCTCAGGGATGGGAGACACAACTACACCATTGGGAGCACTGCAAAAAGTGGAACTATTTTACAAAAGTCTTGATACACATGTCCTGTTGCACAATGGGACCTCCATTATGCAGAAGGACATCTTACACAGTACTCCACTGTGTTATTATTATATGCCTTCAAGTTGTTTCCAACTTATGGCAACCCTAAAGTGAATATATCACAGGATTTCCTTGGGAAAATTTATTTTTAGAGTTTGCCTTTGCCATTCTCTGAGGCTGAGAGGGTATGACTTACCTACGGACACCCATTGCATTTCTATGGCTGAGCAGGGATCCAAACCTTGGTCTCCAGAGTCATAATCCAGAATGGTCAAACCACTACACCACTCTGGCTCTCTGTACATTGATGCAATCCACTAACATGGTTGCACACTTTGTCAGTGATAACTCTGTCATCATAAAGTTATGTATAGAATCATAGAGTTGGAAGAGACCACAAGGGCCATACAGTCCAACCCCCTGCCATGCAGGAATTCATAATCAAAGCATCCCTGACAGATGGCCATCCAGCCTCTGTTTAAAGACCTCCAAGGAAGGAGACTCCACCGCACTCCAAGGTAATGTGTTCCACTGTCTAACAGCTTTTACTGTCAAGAAGCTCCTCCTAATGTTGAGGTGGAATCTCTTTTTCTGTAGCTGGCATCCATTGTTCCATGTTCTAGTCCAGGGGCCGGCAACTTACGGCCTGGGGGCCGCTTCCGGCCCAGGTCCCTGCACTTACCGGCCCAGGCGGACCCCTGCCGCTGCCGTGTGCCACCACAGCCATGTGTTTTGGCCGCCATGCGGCCGCGACACACATGGAGGCGGTGGTGGCAGCGCATGCGGGGGGTGTGCGCACGTGCATGGGTGCACACGCTGCCATTCCCCCCTCTCAGCCCAGCGGAGGGGAGGACTTCGGAGGACTGGCCCCCGGCTCAAAAAGGTTGCCTGCCCCTGTTCTAGTCTCTGGAGCAGCAGAGGCATCACAATCTATGACGCAAAATCTTGGCCCAATTTTTTTTAGAAAGGAGTCTTTTTCTCCCCAGGCCTTTTTCAAAACTTTTTTGTAGAGAAACGTCACTATCTTGCCTGTATATCTGAAATATGGAAGCATTTCACAGCTCTATCCCACTCTCATTTAAAACTGAAAGCAAGCCCTGTCTGTATAACACCACCTTCTTCACCTTCTTTGAGTCCTAATGCTGTGCTGCTGTTGCAAAACGTCATTCCTTTTCAAATGGTTTCCATAGTTCATATTGTGCTTTGAATGCAAAAGGGGCACTGTAAGAAAGATATAAGCCATCTGGAGTTTCTAATCAGCCACTACAGGTTTTAAAGGCAGCATATAAAAGGATTACAGGGTAAATTGATCACTTGAGAAAGTGTTGAAGCATCACAATAGCACAGAAGAGAATAAACCTCCACCAGGAAACTTTCCTAGGAGAATTTCTTCAGTACTATGCTCAGCATGTGAGCTCCATTGTGCACTATTCCATCACTATGTATAGAGACATAGACTGTAAGTACTCTTATGCTTCACTTTATAACTGGGCTCTAGTAGTAGCATTGTTCCTTTAACAACGCAGAACTGCAATGTGAAAAATCTGTTCATCAACAGTTAAAAAAGGTTGCTTTCTCTCCCCCCCCCTTCAAATGCTTTCAAGACACCTTTAAAAACTTGTTCCCATTCGTGCTGTGTAGAATTTGAGAAAAACCACTTCAAACCAAAGAACCTCTCTCTTATAAAATATCTGTTACAACAGCTTCTTTTTGTTTTAACCTAAGAAGTACAAAAGAAGCCAAAAAAGCATGCCAGACATTCAAATGTAGGCATCAAAAATGCTATTCAATCGAAATTTATATCTTTATATATTTTTCTAAAGTCCTTTTCTTTAGAAAATCTAGACTTAAACATTGTTCTAATAGCCTTAATAAAGCATATTGTACTAACAAAATAAGATCTGTGAACTTAAACTTACTGGAATTAATTCATTTAATTGTGCCTTGCTTCTTTACCCTACTTCCCCATCACCACCCTCCCACAGCATGTTCTTTAGTTAGAAGTTTCTAAACAGCCCATTTCCAACAACAGACCTGAGTTGCTAAGGAATTATGAAAACATGTGACTAAATCATAAATAAATGTCCTGAAGAGAAAATCTCTGAGAAAATGATTCTTTTGAGGTTCTAATAACTGAAAAATGTAATTTGAGCTCTACTAATGAAGGTAAAAGTAAAGGTAAAGGTATTCCCCTTTGACAAGGTTGTCAAGTCATATCCGGTGCTCATCTCTGTTATTAAGCCGAAGAGCCAGTGTTGTCAGAGACTACTCTATGATCATATAGCCAGCATGATTGCATGGAACACTGTTTACCTTCCCACCGAAGTGGTACCTATTAATCTAATCGCATTTGCATGTTTTTGAACTGCTAGGTTGGCAGAAGCTGGGACTAGTGATGGGAGCTCACCCCATCATGCAGCACCTGGGCCTTGAACTGCCAACCTGCTGATCTTGCAACCAACTGAGTCAGCGTCTTAACCACTTGAGCCACTGCATCCCACTACTAGTAAAGGACTGACACGGATAGGCTGAAATACAGCCTATCCAGTGCCAGATGTTTTGATAGTTAGATGGTAATTCCAATCTTAAATCCTCTTGCCTCCCCCTTTTTTTTGAAGTTTAATAGTTGTCCATTCTGCAAAGCATTTATATTTAGATATTCACTAGTAAAGGACTGACATGTAAAGATCGTTCTAAGTATAGATGCTTTGCAGAATGGACAACTATTAAACTTTTAAAAAAAGCAAGAGGATTTAAAACTGGAATTACCACCTAAATATCAAAACATCTGGCACTGGATAGGCTGTATTTCAGAGGAAGGAACTGACAAAACCACCTCTTGAGTATTCCTTTTCACTTTTAAAATGGCTGGTTTGCCAGGTGGTTTTCACTTGGTGGGTGACTGATTTGCTTTTATGTTTTAATTATTATTATTTTTGTTTTCATTTTATAGTTTGCCAGACACCTTCAGTACTATTTTATATATCACTAGTGGATTCACCTACACTTGTCCCTCCTAGAGAAATTCAACCCTTGGGGACAAAGGCATGGATGTAAACAAGGTATACACCCAGGGTACATCCACACTGCAGACTTAAAGCAGACTGAAATCACTTTAACAGCCATGATTCTACCCTGTAGAGAATCCTGGGATTTGTAGTTTGGCGAGCCACCAGAGCTCTCTGACAAACCAGGCTAAATACTTCACCAAACTACAAATCCCTGGATTCCACAGGGTAGAGTAAACATCCTGTATTTGGTGTCACTCAGTACAGGTGTTGCCAACTGCTGCTCGTCGGCCATTTGGGATCTGAAACCCAAATGAAAGGCACCACCCCACCAACAGTGGCTAATGCTGGGGGGGGGGGGGGACAGTGCTGCAGCTCCAGACAGCCATTTTGGGTCTTGCATAGCTGCTAGGCAAGAGACACAGGGACGCAGCACCCTTTCTCACTTGTCCAGCTGCAGCACCAGCTGCATACATGGGTATACCGCCCACTGACTGTATACCCCCCTCTAGGGTGTCACCCAATACAGTTGGCACCCCAGCACTCCTGTAGTGACGCCACTGGAGTAATGGCATTTAAAGTGCTTGAATTATGCAGTGTGGCTGCACCTTCAGAAGACTTTTTAAGCTTATGTAAAAGTATATGATTAGTCCAGCCTGAAAGGGCTGCCATCCTCTTCCTAAAACTATATACTTTAAATATTAAAAAAACTTGCAGAAAAATCTAACTTCCTAAAAATACAATATAAGAGAACATGACTAATTTATAGCCAATTTTAGCAGTTAAGAAATATTGCCAAGGTAGACTGGCACTCTCAGTTTTGGAGCAGCAATGTTGCATCCTATTTATTGATCATCTTCCTATTTTCATAAGATGATTTACCAAACCCAATGGAAAGATTACAACTGATACAATAAAAACTGTGCAGTACTTATGTCCAATACATGAACATCTTGGGAGAATGTTAACATTCTCTACTATAAAGATAACAAAAGGCCTTGAAAACATCAGTGATTAAAAAAAAGTTCCTTCATGCTGCCAGTACTGTGACAGCCTAAAAGAGGATCAGATTTGCAAAATAAAATGAAATAAAATAAAAAATACACATGGCAGAAACTATGGAATCTTCTGCCAGACTTCATGTTGAGCATTTGATAATGAGTAAACCTGAATGTGATGTAGCTGGCACCTATCCAGAATCATAGTTAATGTGCATGAAATCTCAAAGGTTTATCATCCAACTGGCAAGGATGTGTCCCACTTGGATTCTTCACTTCTGTGTTTGGGATTTACAATATGATTCTGGCAGATCCAGAGGCAGATTTGAATTTGGGCCAACCATATATAGTTATCTAAGGAAACTTTACAATGCTGAAAATATACTCTAGTTTTCTAAGTGGGCCTCTTAGTTGCTGGACTCTTCTTCTCCCCCTTCATCTCAGATAAAAGAACAATTCATTTAAAGGTTTTGCTGCATGACAACATGCTCATGTCTCTAAAAATGGTATGGTTCTTTGGCTCTAAACATGCAGACCATATGTACTTTCTCCCAGTGATGGTTTCATGAATGGTTTATGCAGTCTTACATTTTTTTCATAAATGGCAGAACTGGAACTGCAACAGAACACACTTATATCTACCAAGATGTTGCTTTTCAAAGTATAATATTTACAGAATTACAGTTGCATTTGTCCAGACCCTCCTCTGTCCCCAAGTTTAAATAAACTAATCTACATTAATTTAAGAGAAATATCTTTGAATCTACTCCTTCTCCTTCACTTGGGCCTTCTCCAGACTTACAATTAGCAATTCTGCCTTCCTCTGAATAAAATTTACTGCACTGGCAAAGTCAGATAGAAATAGAGAAGGTTTGCAATTGTTCATCATCAGTTATGTGCCCCCTTTTTCTCTCATCTTACATTCCTTTCTTTTTCACTTCCAAGTCCAATAAATGGATAACTGAAAATAAAAATGAACAATGAGAGGAGTGATTGCTATCATGTGAGAAAATCAACCCCATGTTTACACGCAACAGACAACAATGGAAGGAGCAAGAGACAGACACTACAAAACTCCATTTAGACCACTTAATCGGTAAACTCAAAACCAGTTATATCAAAATGGGTGTGATGCTTCAAGCTGGAGCCACACCACAGGAAACCACTCAAGTAGCAATCACTAACCCTTGAAATTCAGAGATAAGAACTCTCTCCTCAAAGAACACTACATATCAAGTATGAACTGCCAAGTATAAAATCTAGGGATAACTCAATAAAAGTTATTTTA